CAGATGGGGAGGTGGCAGGTAGCCCTGGCTCTCTGGGGAAATCCTGCGGCTTTGAGAAGGAAGGTTTGCCAGGGGAAATGCAGCCTCACTGTGGAGGCCTCTGGCTCTGATCCAGAGACGGGGAGGCCTGGAGAAGCCCTGGGCTCAGCTCCCCATGTTTAGAGCCCCTGCTCCTGGCTGGTCTCCGTCTGGCTCCCCACTGTCTTGATGTTCCTCTTCCCTCACAACTTCTCCTCAGCCACACTGTTGCCTTCCGGCAGCCCTGAGTGGCAGGAGGAAAGACATTGCTCCCCTCTTTTGCAGCATTTCCTTTAGGCCTGGGTCCCCTAGACATGTGGGCTCCTAGAAGCCCTCTAGAAATGGGGAGCTGGGAACTGTGTAGCCCTGGGAGCCCTCATTTCAAACTGAAACTGAGCCACCTCTTATCTGACTTCTCTCTGGGTCCCTCCAGCTGCCCCACAGTAGGTGCTCCATTGTCTGGGGAACGAGGAGGTGCAAATAGGAGTCCCTGGCCCCTTTCCCTGGGACACCCTTCCCTCAAGTGGACATCATTCCATCCTCCCCTGCCAGTCAGAGTTCTGGGTCACTTCTGGTCCCCGGGGTCATACTCTGCACTCTCTGCTCCTCTCTGGTAGCCCAGGTGCAGTGCCACCAGAACCAAGTCCGGGGACCCTGTTTTGGAGGAGGGGCCCCGGAAGTGGGCAGAGCAGCTGGGATTGGCTGCAAAGAAGGTACAGGGCTTCTACCGAGGAAAAGAGCCAAGAAAAGATGCTGGTTCCCGGGAGAGTCCTGGAACCAGGGACCAAGGCAAAGGAAGGCCCAGGCCTGCTCCAGCAACACTGCGGGGGCCCCCTGATCTCTCGGCTCCTAACACCCCGTGGGCCTCCGAGACTTGCACCTTGTGTACAAGAGCTCTGCTTCCCAGCCTGGCCAGTGTGCTGGGTCCAGGGTCCTGAGGACCCAGGAACAGCATCTCCAGGACCCCTACAGTCAGGGAACTGAGGTGGAGGGGAGCGCAATCCTGCTGAGATCCCAGCTCGGGGGGCTTGGTGGAATGCGCGGTGGGTGAAGGTGTGTGTTTCCAGGGAGGACCGTGGGAGGGAAACAAGGCAGAGGAGAAACCAAAACTCATCCACTGGCAGGTCCGGAATTGGTCTGAAACTGGCTGCACAATCTCTTGTGTGAGAGTGTAAGGGTGTAAGGGTGTGCGGGCTCTGGTTTCTGGACACTAGAAGGCTCCCCCTTTGGAGAGGGGGTCCCAGCCATTTATCCTCCTCTACATTCTGGGAAATTCTTATGGACACTGTGGGGTGCATGCAGGAGAGAGGACAAGATGAAGGGACACTCCTCCTCTGAGTTTCCTCTCTCCCTCCCAAAGCAGAGGTATGAGCCTGAGCCCTAATGGTTACTGGGCTCAGGACCCCACATTTTAGTCCTAACTCTGCTCTGCTGCAGCTGTGTAACCACAGTCACCTCTGCTCTCTGGGCTTATTTTCTAGCTCATAGAATGAGGCTAATTCTCCAGTGTTCAGCCCCAGAAGTGGCCTACCAGTGCTGGTCATCTACTACTCATTTTAAAAAGCCCCCCTGGATGGGGCTCTACCTTCTGCTCAACTCCCAAGCTGATGCTCTATGCTGCGTATTACTGACCTACTTTACAACCAGAGAAAATTGAGGTTCGAGAAGCTTAATTAAGTTCCCCGGAGACACCCATCTCTACTGCCAAGTTCCAAAGCCTTTTCCATTCTGATTGGGGTTCTGCCCTGCGCAGGAGGCCCAGCTTCCTTGCCCTGGGTCCAGAGTTCCAGAACCAAACTGGAGGAAATCATTTCAGCCACCATTGAACCACAGTGCCCCTGACAAAAACAGTCACTGGCCTGGGGAAGCTGGGACGGGGATGCGATCTCAGGGTAGTGAAATGGAGAGCCCTTTGGATGGGAGAATTAGTCTTTTGCATAATTTGGGCTGTGAGAAAGGTAGAGCTGTTATGTCTGCTTGGCATGGGGCTGTAGAGACAAGAGACCCCCCGAGAAATTGCGAAGGCAGTGGGGCAGGGAAGGGTTAAGACATGGGGAAGGGAGGGCAGCTTCGGAGCAGGGGATCTCTGGAGAGCTGACCCCCCCCCCCGCACCTTACACCCCCTTCTGTGAAACACTGCTCCCACTTGTGTCCCTCCTGCCCCACCTTTTCTTACTCAGGTACCCCAGAGCCCAGCCTGTAACCTGCCCAGGCAGAGTCGGGGCTCAGCAAGCACTTGGGGAATTACTGGGTCAGTAATACCACCCCCCACACTGTCCTGCTTTCCTCTCCCCAAGCAAGAGGTGGCTTTGGAGTGGGGTCCTGCAGGGCTTACACATTCCTGGCAAGAAGGGGCCTACCTGCCTGCAGCTGCAGCAGAGGAACAGGGTGGGGGTGTTGGGTGTGAGGTGGGGACCTCCACCCAGAGAACCAACAGGTAGGCGCCTGGGCATGATGGGCCCGGCCAGCCCTGGCCCTGCTATTTCTCTACTGGTATCAGGCCTTTGCCTTTTCACTTTCTTTCAGGGGCTCCCCAACTCCACAACTCTGGGAAGCCTGCCTAGGACAGAAAACCCTACCAAGGGGCCAGCACTTAACTACCAGGACAGCAGATTCCCGTGGAGTCCCCCAATTTAGCACGGAGGCTGGCCCCAAGGTAAAGCAGGGGCCAGAGAGCAGAGATTCTGATCTCCCCGAGGGCCTGGGAGAGTGGGGGAGCCGCCCCAAACGCCCAGCCCCCAACACACTCTTCGGGGACACCCAGACCTAAGGGCTCCGTGGGTGTCCACAGCTACACAGAGCTCTACAGGTGACAAAGAGCTCCAGAACCCCGGGGCAAAACAAAGTTTCTCAAGGTTTTTTTTTGTTTTTTGTTTTTTGTTTAAAAGGTGCCTGCTATTTCCCCACAGTGGTCTGGTTTTCCGCTGGGGCAGGCGAGGGTCCCCCAGGCTCAAAATGCCAAGACCACCAGGGCAGGGAAGCCAGGGGGCTATGGATCTGGGTTCTTAGGAGAAAGTGACCTTCGGGGACAGGCTGGGCGGCAGGGCGCAGCTGCGGCTGCAAGGACCCTGGGGCTGCTCCTTCTTCGTGGGACAAGGGGGCACTCCGTGGAACACGCTACTTCGTCTCCCGCAGCGCCCGGGGCCCCAGTTCCAGTCCCCACACACTCAGGTTGGGAGGCGTTCAGGAAGACTCTGAACAGGGCGGGATGCTGAACTCCGGGTAAAAATCCCGCATTGGCCAAAATGCTCCTGGGCTTGCTCAGGAACCCGACGAAAGGTAGCTTCCGACTCGGGTTTGCCCCTCAGCCCCTCGGCCCATCCCTATACCCCCACCTCGGGCGCTGCGGACGACCGGCAAGTACACCCGGGGATCCCCAGTCACCTGGAATACCAGGTGCTCAGCGAGCAAGGAAATCCGCCGGCCGGGCTGGCACGAGAGAGGGACCCAGGGCGCAAAGGAGGAGTGGGCACGCTTGGACCTCGGGAACCCCCGTTTTCTTTCTCCCAACCTGGAGTCAGTAGTGGGGCGCGGGGGAGTCCCCAAGGTCGCCCCAGATGGGAGAGAGAGAGAATCCACCGGTGTCAGGGCCTTGGCCTCAGAATCCGCATCCCGCGAAATCACACGATCCTTTCCCGGGACGCCCCGCATTCCAGCGCCGCGGCTCGGGCCGGCGCAGCGCGAGGAAGTTTGTTCAGCGTCGGAGCAGAGAGCGCGCGGCCGGGACGCTGGAGGGGGGCGGGGGGCCGGCGGCTGCGCGCGGGTCCGAGAAGTGTTGGGGCGAGAGGGACACGGAGCCCCCGGTCTCGGAGGCGGGGGTCCTGCCGGATCACTTGGGGACCCCTTCCCTGGTGAGATCAGACTTCGCTGCTGTCCTCCGTGCCCCCTGCTATGTAGTAGGGCGCGAGGTTTCCCCAGATGGGGCGCGAAGAGGCGCCTGGGTCGGTCCCCACCCTCGCGCTCAGGCGCACGAAAACCACGGGGCCGTTTCCCGGCGCTCCAAGGCCCCAGGAAGTTTTCCGCTCCGGGTCGGCGCTGAACGCGGGGCGAGGGAAGAGATGGACCGCTCTCCGCACGGCTGGGCTCGACCTCAGCCCGAGTTCCTTCTCACCTCGGCGACGCGCGGGTGGCACTGCGGTCCTCCCCCACCCCACCCCCGCCAGTCTCCGGCGCGTTTCGGAGAGTCCCGCAACGGGAGCGGGGCGCCCACTTCCTCACTTCGCGGCTCTGGAAAGTCTGGGCCAGGACGCATTCTTTGTCTGACTCGGGGCGGTGGGGGGGGGGCGGTCGCGCCCCCTACACCCCCTTCCCGGCGGCGAGGCCGGGAGGGGCGGAGCCCGCGTCGCGGCGAGGGCGGGCCCGGGTGGCCTCTCCAGCACCCCCCGGCCTCGCGCTGCCCCCCCGCGGCCCCCACCTGTTCCCTGGCGGCTGGGGCCGGGGTCCCTGGGGACTCGCGGGTCCCCTGATTCAGCGCGCCCAGCCCGGCCCGGCTGGAACAAAGTGCGGCGGGCCCAGGCCCGGCGGCTCCCGGCTGCTCCGCCCGGCCGCGCGGGGCAGTTTGCAAACACAAAGTGCGCCGCGAGCCAGCCAGAGTTGGAGCGGCCGCCGGCCCAGCCCCCACGCGTCTCCGCGCGCCGCCACCTACCTGTCGGGCCCGGCTCAGCCCGCGCGGGGCATGGGGCTCGCTGGGGTCCCCGCCTGCCCGCCGCCGCCCTGGCGTCCTCCCGCGCCGCGCGCCCTAGCCGCGCCGGGCCATCGCGGGCGCCTCGGCGGGAGCTCCGCGCGCCCCAGCTCCGTGCTGCTCCGGCCTCCGGGGCCCGGGCGTCTCCGCCCCCGGCTCAGCCCTGGCTCCTCCCCACCGCGCCGCGCCCTCCTCGCGCGCTGGGCTCCGTCCCGGCCGCCGCCGCTCGCTCCGGGCTGCAGGGCGGCCGGCTCCGGACTCCGCGGGCTGCGACTGAGCCGGTGCGAAGGCGGCGCGCGGGCGGGGGTGGGGCCGGGGCGCGCGCCGAGCGGCGGGCAGGCGGGGCTCAACTCCGCGCTACCGTAATCCGCCTAAAGCTGGCGCAGCACGTCCACTGCCGGGCCGCGGGGAGACCACGTGGACCGAACTTCAGGGGAGAACAGACCGGCACGTGGGACGGGCCGTGGGGCTACGGATCTGAAAGGGGCTTTGCAGAGAGACCTCAGAGGGTGTCCGGCCTCGGAGCGGTTCCAGGGAACGCTGTGCCAACCCCACCTTCCTGTGGAGCCCTGAGGTACTGCCGTCCAGCGCGCGCCCGGTTCGGAGGTGGCCAGGGAGGGGGCCGCCAAGTCCCGAGTCAGCGTCTGATCTGGGTTCTGCCTCACCCGCCTCCCAGCGTATGGTGCGTGGGGGGGTCGCTGGCCGGATAAGGGTGGGAAGGTCCCTCTGGGCTCTGTGACCTGCCCCACCCCTGCCCGGGGGCGCTCCGCCCCCGCCGAGCTAGGGGGAATCCAAGTCGGAGAAGGAAACCCGGGGCTGCTGATCCACCAGGGCAAACCCGAGCGCCATGTCAAGGCATCAGATGCCAAAATGGTTTTGCAAACATAACTCAGCATTGTGGACACCGCCCTGCCCGGCGGGGGGGGGGTGCGGGGATGAAGGGGGTGGGAATGGAGCGGGGCTGGGCCGGGGAGGGGAAGCCCCCAGGAGAGACCCGGTAAGGGGAGAGGAAGGACACCTCGGCCCTTCCAAAGGATGCCAGGTCCCCATGACCAAGGGGGCCGGAAAACAATGGCTCTTGAAAGCCCACTTCGCCCCAAGCCACCTGGGGCAGGTGGACAGGGCAGCCTCACCAGGCTCCAAGGAGGACTGAGGCCTGGTTGCTGGGAGGGAGGGGGTCTTCCAAGAGAAAGTCTTGCCAGGGGCGGGGGTCTCTTCCTCCCTCTCCTTCCCTCCTTTCTCTGTTGATACAGCAGCCGCAGGTAGTCATAATGTGGTGACACCTGCCCGGGGCCAGGTCTGTTTTGGGCAGGCATGATGGGTACACTCAGATCCCTCGGGACCCTTTCCCACATCTAGGTGTGAAGTTCAAGAGGACTTCTGGTGCCCTTCAGTTCTTTTTTGTGTGGTGCTAGTGATCAAACCCAGGGCTTCAAGGATGGTAAACACATGATTTGCCACTGAGCTACACCCCCAGCCCAGTGCCATTTATTTGGATATCACCGTGACCTTTCTAGTGGCATAGCAACGGCAGTGGCAGTAAGAATCAGATGACAGCTAGTGCGGGGCACATTGACTCATTTTGTCTTCACAAGAGGCCTAAGAGGTAGATAGTTCTGTTAGCTCTGTTTTGTTTTTTAACTTATTTATTGTCATTGTTGTTTTTGAGGCAGGGTCTTACTATGTTCATAGCTATGGCTTTGAACTTGGCAGCAATCCTCCTGCTTCAGCCTCCCACGTGGTAGGATTACAGGTGTATGTCGCCATGCCTGACTTGTTAGCTCTCTTTTAAAGAGGAAGGAACTAAGGCACAAAAAGATCTCGTCACTTTCTTGAGTGTCTTTATGAGGTATGATTTTTTTTTTTTTTTTTAAAAAAGGTGAATGCTGCTGAGTGCCATCCAACAGAAAGGTGGGCCGTGAAAATGTGATGCTGTGTCCTCATCCACCTGATTGGCTGGATCGGGTACCCTGTGGTCTCTCACTCTTCCCCAAAGTCCAGTGACCATGAAAGGTCAATGTTTTGAACCCATTCAGTAAGTCGAGGTAACCAGGACAGCACAACTAAAGACACTCAAGAAAGAGGACTAAAGAGCTACTTCATGGTGGGATGGGTGTGTTTGAAGCCAGGGGTGGCGTCCTGAGGATTCATGGCAACATGTCTTTTACTGTAATACATATTTTTATTTTTATTTATTTATTTTTGGTACTGGGGATCGAACTTGGGTCCTTGCACTTGCATAGCAGGCAGCAAGACCACTGAGCTAAATCCCTGGCCCATTGTAATCCATAGTTTTAATTTAAACACTCATCGTATTTTTCCATCATGTCTCATAAGTTGCCATTTGTTTATTTATTGTTCTGGTACCAGGGATCAAACTCAGGACCTTTTGCTTTTGAGGCAGGTGGCAGAACCACTGAGCTAAATCCCCGGCTGCCATTTGTTTAATAATAAGCTTGTACCAGGTCCAAGATCACTTTGTCACCTTAGTTTTCTACCCATTTTACAGGTGAGACCCAGAGAGGTCAGATAACTTGCCTCAGGTCACTCAGCAAGGAGGCAGCACTTGAAGTGGTTGTTCCCAAGTCTCCATGCTCGGAAACAGATGCCCTTTCCCGAGGCTGGCTGCCTGCCTGTCATAGGCAGGAAGTTGGGCATTGTTTGGTGGTAGTGGGGTTCCCGGTACCAGGCCTGGCACCACTTGGGAGGAGGAGATGGTGGTAAAGGTGGATGTAGACCCAGAGACACTGGTCTTCTATTCCCTTGGCCCAGCACATCTTGCCCAGATATTTTGTTTGTTTCCATTCATTTGAATGCTTGAATCTTTTTTTTTAAAGCACAATCTTTGTTTAGTTATTAAGGAATAAAACTTTATTAACAAAGCACAGCAGCTGCAGTCCTAAGACTATGCCAATAGCAATGGGTACAGGTGCTTGGTGCTGAGAGTGCGCAGACCATTGCCATGCTGGGTGACATGCAGGAATCTTAGAAAGTGGCATCTCATGTAAAAGCCAGACACACAAGAGAACGTTGATTCCACTGACTGAAACGTACAAACCAGTGGAGTGGATGGATGGCGTTAGAACTCCACAGAGTGGCCTTTCCGGTGTGGGAGTGGCTGGCAGAGGTTTCTCGGGGGTCTGAGAATGTCTTTTCTCAGTTTGGGAGTTGGTTACATGTGCGTGCTCACTTTGTGAAGATTAATTAAGTTGTGTGTATACTTAGGAGTTGTGCACCTCTGTTTAAAAAAATGTAAAAACCAACCAGGGGTGGTGTGCACACCTGTAATCCCAGCACTTGGGAGGCTGAGGCGGGAGGATCACCTCGAGTTTGAGGCCAATTTGGGTTTTATAGTGAGTTCAAGTCCAGCCTTAAGTACATAGTGAGACCTCATCCCCAACAAACCGACAGACATGTAAAAACCACTGAGACAGTTGAAGCCCCTTCCATATCCATCCTGTGCCTTCTCCACCTTTTCCCTCCTTTTCTAATGTTGGCCTTCCCAAGTGAGTTTTGTAATCTTAATCACTGAGTACCACCTGGGCATCTTTAAATGCTAAGCAAGGACTGGGTGGTGTGGCTCAGGGGTAGAGCTCTACCCATGTGCCTGAGGCCCTGGGTCCCAGGCCCAGTCCAGCAAGGAAAAAAAAGTAAAAGCTGTCCTTTTGCTCCTTGTGTTTTACTCAACTTCCTGTTGCCAGATGAGTTCAGGTTTGTTACAGGTACTGCATCTCCAGGTCATTTATTTAAGAGGCTGCCGGCATAGTCCACCCTCTTCAAACCCCTATTTCCTACTCTGCCTCCTGAGGATGGAGGCCTAGATTGTATGAGCACTGGCAGCCGCTCTGGTCTCTGCAGTGGGCTTCCTTTTGTGAACCCCCTTTGCCTCCTGCTTGGGCTAGTTTCCTCCCCTCCTTCCCACCTGCATGTCCCTCCTCCCTGGAATCTTCTCCCCTTTCCATCTACCCTGCTCCCCAGTCTTCCTGACTCTGAGACCCAGGGTCTGTGCTGAGTGGAGGAGGGGAGGAATGGGAGGAACAGCCCTTTCCCTTCCCCAACATAATGATGGCTTCATAAAGAAATATTTCAGGGAGGGCTGATATCTTAAGGAACTGCCAGGACCCTTGAAGGCAGCTTTCTGCTCACCCCTTTTTAAGGGGCCTCCCACCCTGGGGTGCTTATCAATTTACCATATTGCCCCAAGTAAAGGACCCTGGTCCAGTGGGATCTGTCCTTGGGGCTGCAAGGAGAGTCCTGCAGAACCAGGCAGGTTGGGTTCCCCTATCTAGTGCCAGGCTGGTGGGATGCCCAGGCCCTGGGAGATGTTTGGAATCACTTTCAGGGACTTGGAGACTCTGGCTTTGTATGCAGTGCAGGGCATGGAGGCTTCGGGCTGATTGGTAGAAAATCAGTCATTAAAGACCAGGAAATGAACAAGGACTTGACAGGCAGTGAGCAGTTTTCCCTTAATTAGAACACAGCATCTTGGGGTCGAATGAAATCTCTCAAGAAGGGAAAGAGGAAGACACAGCTAGGATAGGGCTTGGGGCGGGGGGGGGGGGCGTAGACCCAGAACCCCCTACACCTCCCATTGTTCGTGGGTGGAGGAGGTGGGTTGGGGTGCAGAAAAGCCAAGGAGCAGGGACAGAAAAAAGAACCTCTTCCTATTTATTTAGTTGTTGTTCCCTCCCTCCTCTTCTTTCTTTTTTTCTTTTTTTTTTTTTAGACAGGGCTCTCACTACATCTCCCAGGCTGGCCTTGAAGTTCCCAGCTCAAATGATCCTCCTATCTCAGCCTCCTGAATAGCTGGGACTATAAGTACACACCACCACATATGGCTTAGTTCTTCCTCGTGTGGTGAGCTATCCCACATCTTCCTCCCTTGTGAAGGCTCTTGGATTTAAATCCCAGTTCTGGGCTGAGGATTTAGCTCAGTGGTGCTGCCACCTGCCTCACAAGCACAAGGTCCTGAGTTTGATCCCCAGTACAATAAATAAATAAATCCCAGTTCTGTCATTTATAGCCTGAAATCTTTTTTTTTGGTACCAGGGATTGAACTCTGGTCCTTCAGCTTGTGGGGCAGGGGGCAGAACCACTAAGCTAAATCCCTGGCCCTATAGCCTGAAATCTTGAAGCAAGGAGCCTGGCCTTCAACTGTGTAAGGGTCTGGCATACAGCTTGGGGGGCATGGCTTCTGCAGGGTTCTTAGTACAGGCACTGGCTACACTGTAGATCATGGATACATTTAGGCAATGGATACATTGTATATACTGGATACACTGTAGTCACTGGATACATTATAGGCATTGGATACACTGTAAGAACTGGATACACTGTAGATCATGGATACATTATAGCCATTGGATACATTATAAGTACTGGTTACACTAGGTACTAGATACATTGTAGGAATTGGATACACTATATACTGCATAAATTGTAGGCACTGGATACATTGTAGGCAGCAGATACACTGTGGCCCCTGGAATTGTTTCCTGTGGCCTGGGCAGCTCCTATCTCCCTTACCCATGTGTGTTACTGTTATCGTGTCATTGCCTGACTTATTTCTGAAGCACCTAGTAACTTTGAACACATAGTATGGACTGTTTAGCTAGTTCTGTTTCCTTTCCCTAGTGAGATCATCAAGTTCTGTAGTTAGGGACCCTGGTTCCAGTCTTGCTGTGGTTTCCCCTCATATCCAGCTTGCTTTTTCTCATGGTAGATGCATAATAAATGCATGTTGATCTGATTTGATTTGATTGTAATTTGATGTTGAGCATAGTTAAATAAAAATCCCCTGACAGCTTAGGACAAGTTGGGGACCTGCAGGTGTCAGCTAGGGGTCATAGAATATCTTCAAGAACCAAATCTTGGAGGAAGAGGGGAGTGTGACCTGGATAGAAAGTGTGACAGGAGAGTTCTGGTGCTCCCTGGGCCACCCTGCCCCTCCAATCATGCCCTGTCTGTTCCTCTCCTCCTTCCTCCTGGCTCCCTTCTCCTCCTGAACCGCACCCAGCCAGGGCAGCAGTCTTTCCCCTGGAACTTGGGGTGCTGGGGCTTGGCGTTCCATCCAGTGGCACTGGGGGTGAAGTGGGATATGAAGGAGGAAGTTCGAGGCCACAGTAGAGTTACAGTGGGAATAGTACCAACTGCGTATGGTCGGCTGTTCACCAAAAACATTGTATGGCTAACTCTGCTCCCCACAACAGTGAGTGAGAGAGAGAGAGAGAGAGAGAGAGAGAGAGAGAGAGAGAGAGAGGAGTCACTGCTATCATGGCAAAGGCCCTGGATTCAACACCCCCTGCCCCAAAAGCTCCCCTTTCCTGGGCTGGGAAATCATTCTCGCCACTTGAATGCTGCATCCGAAGAGGACTGTGCCAGGGGTACATCAGCCCCTACAGAGGAGAACTAAGTTGAGAGAAGGTTTTTATTTCATGCTGGGGTGTCACCGGGCCTCATGCATGCTAGGAAGCTCTCTACCCTGAGCTGCACCCTAGCCAGGAGTGGGGAATTTATATGCCAGTTCCTGTCATTACAGGGGTTGGGCTGCCCCAGAAGGTGCCCTGTGGAAGCTCAGGGAGGAAAAGCAGGCACTGGGGTCGGGAGAGGCATAGTGACACCACCAGGAGCACCCCTTGGTGCTGTGGGGGCAGGGACAGGTTCTGCATACAGAGTGCTTGGCACCGGGCCTGGGCACAGGTGGTTCTCCTTGGCCTCCAGGGCCTGGCTCTGGGGCCTTCTTGCTGCCTAGCAGCTTCAAAAGGTCCTGGCCCTGGAGGAGAGGGGTCAACAGTAGAGGAGACTGCAGAGGAAAGGACCAGGCCAATGTGGGCGAAGCCAGAAAGCAGAGACTGAGAGGAACCAGGGTCTTGGGGATCAGAGGTCATGGCCTGGGCCAGAGTGTGGAAGCCATGGGGATGTGCGCCCACCTACTGCATGGACCCAGCCGGATGCTGCGAACAGTGGGGATGGGCAGGCTTTCTCAGGTGGGCTTCCTTCGTTCTGGCATCCTTGGAGGCATCCCTTCAGCTTCAGACCCATGACCTGCCCCTTCACCCAGAGAACTATTCTGCCAAACACCTGGACCTTAAGGATTTCCTCACCCAGTCCAAACATCCCCAAGGCCAAGGCTGCCTATGCTCCACCGGGGCTCAGGCTCGGCACCAGGTGGCCCTGTGTCTGTAGGTGGAGCTGTGTGACGCAGCCACACCCCTTGGTTTATGTGGCAGCGGTGGCCCGTGAGGAGCAGAGGCAGAGAGCAGCACATATTTTCTGCATAGGATGCATAGGAAAGATTTTAGACTCCCCAGGCCAAGAGGCAGAATGGAGGATGTAATGTAGGGATTTGCAAGACACAAGAGGAAGCAAATGTCCATGATGGTTTTATTGATGAAGTTACAGTAATAATTGAGTCTGATTTTTTTTTTTTGGTACCGGGGATTGAACTCGGGAGCTTGCGCTTTCGAGGCAGGTGCTGGAACCACTGAGCCAAATCCCCGGCCTGAGTCTGATATTTTGTAACACAGTTTGACTAACAGGAAGAATAGAACTCTGGGGAAGGGATAGCATTTTGCTTAATGGGGGTTCAAAGTTTATGCTCCTGCTGGGTGTGGTGGTGCATGCCTGTAATCCTAGCACTCTGGAGGCTGAGGCAGGAGGATTGCCATGAGTTTGAGGCCAGCCTGGGCTACATAGTGAGACCTTGTCTCAAAAAACAAAAACAAACAAACAAACAAACAAAAAATGAGGGGCACTGTTTCAGGCAAGAATACCCAGCAATGCTGCATCCAGGCTTCAGGCCTGGCCTCCTCTGGCACTCTGAGGAGCACTCCTTTGTCCTGTTGGCCAGGCCGGGGAGAGCCCTGCTCCAGAGCTGACCTGGCCTCCAGCAGTGCTGCCCAAGGTCAGGAAGGGCTCTGGGGTGGGCAGAGGCAGCCAGGCGTGAAGGAGCTACACTGGTTCCTTCCCAGGAGGATGGCACAGAGGACCGAGGACGTGTGTACTGGCACATGCATACAAACATGGCCACATCTTCCTGTCTCACACACAGATTTACACACTCCTAGGGTCATATCTCATAGTTTTGGTACTATGTATCCTCTGCTGGGTTGAATTCACATTGATCCTCCTGCCTCAGCCTCCCTGAGTGCTGGGATGATAGGCGTGCACCACCACGCCCTGCACAAGATTGTATTCTGAGGTGCTGAGCATTAGGACTACACGTGTATGTATCTGGTTGTGGGGTGTAGATTTCCACCCGTGACACCACCTATGACCCTGGGACCCCTCATGCGTGTACCATCCTGCGGTGACCCAGACCGGCCCAGCCCACAGTCACCAAGCCACGCCCACCTGCACGGTGCCAGCGTCACACTCCTCACCGGGGGTCTCCTGGTCTTACAGTCAGGGGCCTTCGCAGCCTGGTGCTTGGCTCATGGGGGCCCCTCCCACACACATCCTGTCCCCAACACCTCCTCTCCGACACCCGTGCTGCAGAGCTCTGTTCCACCTGGCGGCGCTGCCTGGTGTCCACCACAGCCTCCCTCAGCCCCACACACTCGCCTGTCGGGGGGCAGACAGGCGCACACTCAGCGCACACTCAGCGTACACTCAGCGCCACGCCTCTCCGGCAGCCCGGCTGGCCCCGGTCTGTTCCTCATTATGGGCCAATGCGCCTGTTTACGCACACAGCTGGGGATGGTTAGAGAGTGATAAATAATGAAAGAGAAAACAGGCTTTTCCCCTCTGCGGCTTCTATTTATGTAACGTCACTTCTTCGGACTCACAGGCTGTTTCAGAACTGCTTGCAGGAAATCGTTTATTTTTTCCGGACGGTGGCTGGAGGGGTGGGGCAGGGCGCTGGGGCTTGGGGTTCTGGCCCCCTGCCCGTGGGAGCTTCGGGACCTGGTGCTCGACTCCGCCTCCCCGACACTCCCTGGGCAGACATCAGGGTTCTCCCGCTCCAGCTCCAGCGGCTGGAAGGAGCTGGGGTACGGCCCCTCCCCGCTGGTTCAGAAACCTCAGACAGATGGGCCTGTTTCAAGAGCCAGACAGCTTGAGGCTGGGCCGCCTGAGGACGCTTGGGACAGGGGCTTCCTAGGTAGCCTGCACCTGTTACAGGGGAGGATGCAAAGGGGATCACTGTACAAAACAAGAATAAAAAGCTGGGCGTGGTGGTGCATGACCATAATCCCAGCACTCGGGAGGCTGATGCAGGAGGATCCTGTGAGTTTGAGGCCAGCCTGGGCTACACAGTGAGTTCAAGGCTGGCCTGAAATACATACAAAGCAAATTCAAAAGCAAAACAAGAATGTAAAAAGGCCAGCCTCAGGTTCTCTGGCCCAGCGTTCTCTGTGGTCCCTCTGAGGTCCTCTCAGTGAGGGCTGGCCGTGCTCTGCTAGCCAGTGGTAGAGGCAACTTCAGGGTCCAGTGAGCACATCACCCGCATCCTTCTCTCTTTGCCATCTTCTCCCCATCCTTCCCAGATGCCTCCTCTGTGTGCCACTGGCTGGCCTGACTCTCAGGAAGGCTATGGGAGCCCAGGGTGGGAAGTTGCAATGTGGGGGAGGTGACCATCACAGTGTTGGGGTAACCCCTCCCCCAGCTTACACCAAGTGGGCATCCTGTTGCCCAGGGGAGGGAGGCAACGGTGCCTTCCTTTGACCTGAGCCCCAGTGGCCTGCCGGGTCCCCAGCAGGGCTGATCCGCCTTTGAGGGATGCAGAGTCCACTACAGAAGGTGGGAGCGGAAATCCCTACTCTGCCAGCTGCATACAGGTGAGGTGGGATCAGGGTGGGGGGCAGACTCCCACCCCTGGGCTCTGGCTTTCTTGTAGGCAGCATCCCATGGAGTCTCCCCGAATGCAGAGCAGCTGCCTCAGTCCCAACACAAGGACTTTAAGCTCTGTCTGCCCAGCAAGCAGAAGAGCATGCAGCGTGAACCCAGGGTAAGAGAGAGAAAGTACCAAGGAGGTTGTTTCCACTTTAATGTGTTAGTCAGGTGAGGTGGTGCATGGGTGTGATCTCAGCACTCTGGGAGGCTGAGGCAGGAGGATTGCAAGTTCAACCCAGCCTGAGCAACTTAGGAACTTAGTGAGACCCTGTCTCTAAATAAAAAGGACGGGGATGTAGCTGAGTGGGAAGGACCTGGCTTCAATCCTCAGCTATGAAAAAAACAATGAATGTGAGATTCGGAGAGCCCTAGAGACTGGACCCCAGGCTCTCTCTCCAGGGGTGTCCAGGCACAGGGAATTCCTGAGATTTGGGGTCTCCCAAAGACAGGAGACAACAGGGCCCCCGAGGCCCCCGCCCCCCACAAGGACGGGACTCTGACTCCACCAGAGCAGAAACGAATTGGTCAGAAGAACAACAAAGCCAGGGAAGGTGGTGTACACCTGTAATCCCAGAATTTGGGAGGCTGAGGCAGGAGAATACAGTGAGTTCAAAGCCAGTTTGGGGTCCTTAGTGAGCTCCTATCAAACAAAAACTCAAACCCAAGGAGAGAAGAGGGCTCAGGAGAGCCAGGCACCGGGCTGGGCCACCAGCTCCCAGGGCCCCCACAGGTGAGCAGGAGTGCCCTGGCCACACGACAGGGCCTGTGTGGTCTCTGTCTCACAAACCCTCTGCCGAAGCACTGTGAGCTCCTGAGCCTCTGCTTCCTCTCAGCCAAGCTGAGCAGCTGCAGTGCCGGGGGCTCTGGCCTCAGTTTCGCCTGCCCCCCCCCCAGTCGGCTGCAGGAGACTTGACCTCCTCCACCAGCCCTGGGGCAACCCCCCCTGGCACTGCCCCTCCCGCTCTGCGCCTGGGAGCCAGGCTTTGCTCCAGGGCAGTGAGAAGTGGGCTGTGGCGGAGCAGCCTTCAGTGGTCCCTGAGGAGGCAGATCTGAGGCGAGGCTGCTGAGAAGGCGCCCGCAGCAATGTCAGCCGGAGCCGCGCTGACAGGATGCCGAGCGAGGATTAAGGTCGGGATCAGGGAAGCCGGGACGAAGACGGCTCCTGAGTCCCTTGCTGCCACCACAGTGCAGCCTTCTGTCTGCTGTTTGTTCCCTCGCTGGGAAGGAGGGCAGGGCGGGGAGCAGAGAAGGATGGACGGATGGAAGAACAAGGGCAGGCTGGTGCAGCCGAGCAGGACCCTTCCCCTCCCTGTCCCTGTCAGCCAGGGGGCAAATGCCATGGCCCTCCCCGTCAGAGACGGGGTCTCCCTAGGTAGTTCAGGGCGACCTTGAATTCACTATGTGCTCTGTCTGGCCTCCAATTTGTGGGGATCATCCTGCCTCAGCCTCTTGAGTGCTGGGATTACAGGTGTGCACCATGGTGTCTGGTGAAAAGATAGACAGCTGTTTATCATGGGCTGCTTCCTAAAATAGGGCTTAGTCGCTGGGCGTGGTGGCGCATGGGCAGCCCCTCCCTGGCCCGCCCTCCTGTGGCTGAAGGGAGCAGGGTGTCCCTAGAAGTGCACTGGAGACAAGGGGTCCCAAGGCCCGCTCACCTGCCCAGCCTGCAGCCTCCATCTCTAACACCTGGGGTGGGAGTGGGAGAGCATGGGGGTGAGGGTCTTGGACTGGGGGCCAGGTCCACCTGGCTTGCTTCCCGGAGGCATGTGTCGGCCCAGCACAGGGTCCAGGCTTGGCGAAGTGGGGAGCACCTTGCTGGGAATTTCATCTCGAGGGTACTGATCTTTAGAGAAGTGAATTTTAGTAGTTTTGTTGTTATTTGAGACAGGGCCTCGCTATGTAGTCCAGGCTGTCCTTGAACTCACTATGTAGCCCAGGTTGGCCTCAAACTCAAGATGATCCTCCTGCCTCAGCCTCCTGAGTGGTAGGATTACAGGCATGCACTACCAGGCCCTATAAGAGAAGTGGGTTTTAAAAATACCTTGCCCTTTATTCTGTTAATCAAAGTTATATTTATTAATTTTTAAATATATTTATTGTAGAAAATTTGGAAGATACTGAAAAAGCACCAAAAAGAAAATAAAGATCGGTCACATCATGCTGAGTTAACCATGGTCAGATTTTCTTACATCTTCTAGTTTTTCCAAAGTTCAACCTTGCACGCAGGCTCATACACACTCACAGTTACACACACTTACATTTAACTCTTTATTATAGTATAACTCACATAATGTACATAGCGGTTTTTTTGTTTTGTTTTTCTGCACATAGCATTTAAAAAATTTAGAAACAGGCTTGTGGGATCATGGATCTGTCATGATTTTGTAGCATGATAAGATAAAATATCCAACCATTAAATATTCCTCTCCAATATAATTTAAAATGACTGTACCACCAGGTGTGGTGACACACACCTGTGATCCCAGCACTTGGGAGGCTGAGGCAGGAGGATCACTTTGAGTTTCAGGCCAGCCTGGACTACATAGTGAGACCCTGTCTCCAAAAGAAAACAAAGCAAAAATAAATAAAATGAAATAAAATAAAATGACTGTGTAGTGCTCCTTCTTTGGGGTCTATTATAAAGCTTATCACTTACCAATCTTTAATTTTTTTTTCTTTTTGAGACAGAGTTTCACTTATTAGCCCAGGCTGCCCTGGACCTTGAGGCGATCCTCCTGCCTCCGCCTCCAAAGTGCTGGGATTATAGGTATGTGCCACCATGCTGGCTCAATCTTAATTATTCAGGATTCAGACTGTTCTAGATTTTGCTCTGATAAACAGCCCCACAGTGGACAGCCCAAGGGGAAATCAGAGGCCCCCAGCTCTGCCATGCTCGGAGTGTCTGTCTACCAAGCCTGGTCTGCCCTTCCTAGGCAGGGCCGCTCTGCATCCGTTCATCTTTGTGGCCCCCGTTTGGCCTGGTCCCACTCCCTGCATACCGTGATTGTTGATTTGACCGCATTTCTGGAGTGTGTGCACGGGGCTGGGGGGGAGGAGCCCACCTTCCAGCTCAGGGGTGGGGGTCCCCACTGCCCCAGGTGTCTCCTAGGAGACAGCAGCCCAGGCCAGAGCCACTGGGCATTGGGGAAGTCCCTGCACCCTGTATTTCGAATGTTCCGGGGAAGCCAGCCCTTTCTCCCTTGCCGGACTCTCCTCTCCTCCTCCTCCGAGCCCTGCCTTGGACTCTTGAGTCCTGGAGTTGTGTCTTCAAGCCGAAGGCCTGGGAGACAGGGCTATCTCACTGTCACGTGCTCCACGCTGCGGGAGGGGTGGGGCCTTCCTTGTGGCAGCCCCTCTCTAGCCTGTTTCTTTCTTTTTCTCTATTCTTTCCTTCCTCCCTCCCACCCTCCCTTTCTTTCTCCTTTCCTTCCTTCCCTATTCTTTTTTTTTTTTTCTGGTGCTGGAGATTGAACTCAGGACCTTGCACTGAGGCACCACTGAGCTAAATCCCTGGCCCCTCCTTCCTTCCTTCCTTTCATGGCACCAGGATCAGACCCAGGGCCTTTGCACTGGGCTTCATCCCCAGGCCTTTTTAATTTTTTTTATTTTGACAGGGGGTCTCCCTGAGTTGTTACGTTATCCAGGCTGAGCTCCAACTTCTGAGCCTCCTGCCTCAGCCTCCCCAAGTACTGGGATCACAGATGTGGGCCACTGTTTCCCGCTGACTCTTATTTCCACAGCACAGCCACTTGGCCCCTGCAAAGTGAGAGCCCTTTGGCAGCTCTTGGTCCTGCCCCTGCTCTGCCTGCCGCCTCTGGCGGCACCCAGGACGCTCTGCCTCCTCTTCCAGGGCGAATAGGGATGCGCAGAATCCCAGACTCGGGGGCTGAGTCCCAGCACCCGATTTTCAGTATTCTTATTGAGAGGGAGAGAGAGGGGGAAGCAAGCCCGGATAGGTAAAACTTAACTAATTTAGTCTCTTCCTCTCAGCCATCTGCTCTCCCAGCCGCCTGAATTTTCTCTTCTTTTTTATTTTTCATCTCTTCTGCTTTCTTTCTCTCCTCTTCCCTACTGACTGCTCCCTCTCTTCTCCATCTCTCTCTGGCTCTGACCCACACTCCCCCACCACCCTCCTGTCTTCCTCTCCCCTCCTCTCCCTTTCTTTTTTAAGTTTTTTTTCTTTTAACTTTCAAGGTCATTCCGGACTCCCGACGCCGCCAGTCCCTTGGTGAGACAGCAGCACCACTGGCGTCCGTGGCCTCTGTTTCCGTGGCAACCCAGTAACCATTAATTTTCAATTAAAGGAGACAAAAAGCTCAATGACAGCTCCAGGTCCGCTGAAGATGTCAAGAATGTGTATTAATATACAGCACGAGAGCATAATTGTGTGTCCATCTTCCAGAGCAGCGAAAAATGGAGGGATAATTACCAGCTCGAAAGCCACTCTGTAATTTAGTTCTTACTGTCACCACAACCCTGCACATTAGCATAAATTAAAAGCGGAGTTTATTGTTATCAAAGTGCATCGATACCGCCAGACCCGCTTTCTTGCTTTTAACTGTTTGTTGTGGGCAAGTGACTCCCCGACTCTCACCAGGGCCTCCCCAGGATGGGCACAGTGGGGGCAAACCCTGGAAGGGGGGACCTGTCCCTGCCACCTTTGGGGCCTCTGGGTTGAAGGGAACAAGGATGGAGGCTGAAGATGGAGGGGGGCTTGGATCGGAATTCACTGTGCACATTGAGGGCTTTGTTTCACCCACTTCCTTTTTTCTATTCTATTTTTTATTGGCACTTCCTTTTTGAGACAGGCTCTCGCTATACACTTCAGGCTGGCCTTCAACTCACTATGTGGCCCAGCCTGGCCTTGAACTCACAGGGATCCTCCTGCCTCAGCCTCCCAAGTGCTAGGATCACAGGCGTTCGTGAGCCACCACACCTGCTCTGTCCAGCTCTTTCTAGAGGGGGCATCTGCCCCATCTCAGGCCCCCCTTGGGCACTTGGTACAGTGCAGGGCAGGCGACAGGAACTCTAAGCCAACCTGGGAAACAAAGAGAGGAACTACACCGGGCTCTCCTCCACGGCTGGATGCATTTTTCCGATTCAAGGCGTGGCCAGGGGACAGCTGCTCCTGACCAGTCTGTGCCCTGGGACCCCAGCACCAGGGTGGCCCCTCTCCCGTTGGTGCCGGAGGTTCAGCCTGTGTCTGGGGTCCACGCTGCGTCTTCACCCCGGGAGCTGGCCTGCCTGCCAGTGTCACCCGCTTGGAAATCAGGCATCCCTGCATGGGGAAGTGGTTTCTTGAGCACCATCCAGAGCGAGCTGTCCTTCAGGGGGGAATTGAGTGTAATTACCCTAAGGGAGCGATCCTTACACAGTCAGTCACAACACTGACCTCCTGGCTGCAATTTGACAGCGAAATTACAGGCTGTGTACGCAACAGAAGGGGCGTCCTCCTTTTTGGGGGGAGGGGGAGGAGGGAAAGGAGATATGGAGGCTTTTGAAAAGAAGTGTGGCTCACAGCTGCCAGGCCCAGGCTCCCCTCGGCGAGGAGGGGCAGGCGGAGCAGAAGGTCCCAGTGCCCGGCACCTCAGCTGCTGGTGAGGACGGGCCAAGGTGGCACCCCAGCCCTGTACAGTTTTGAGCCATGGATACAGCTAAAGTCAATCCCATAGGCAGGGCGTGGTGGCCCGTACCTTTAATCCCAGCACTTGGAAGGCTGAGGCAGGAGGATTGCTCTCTTCGAGTTAGAGGCCAGACTGGTCTACATAGTGAGTTCAAGACCAGCCTGGACTACATAATGAGACCCTGACTCAAAAAAAGTTAATCCCATGTCAGGTAAGACTTGGACGGTATAAGGGAGGATTTGAGAAACCGGAGGGCCTGTGTCCCCAGCACACCCGCCCCTTGGTGCCAGAAAGTCCTGTCCCTCCTGCCTTTGAGTGGATGCCTCTCAGACCCTGTTTACCTGCACCTGGTTGCCTGGCAGGACTCGAATGCTAATCTGTGACCGTTTCCAAATTTAGCACAGTCTTATCTCTCAGACGTGCTGCTCCGCTCCGTCATGTGGGAGGGCACTGAAGGACACAGGCCGGGCGGGCTTCCACCAAGTACTGGACGAGAGTTCAGTGGACTTCAGAGCCTGGGAAGGAGCCCAGAATCTCTAGGCTGCACGGGGTCCCGGGCACCAGCAGGGCGAGACTCCTCCCAGAGTAGGAGTCCCCGCCCAGACTTCGGCTCCCTCAAGCAGCACTGAAACAACACTGACCACTGGAAATTTCTGAGCATGGGGGAAAATCTGTCTTCAAAAACAAAGAATAAAAAGAGCCAGATGTGGTAATGCACTCAGGAGGCTGAGGCAGGAGGACTGCAATGAGTTGGAGGCTGGCCTGGGCTACATAATAAGACCCTGTCTTCAAAAAAGAAAGAAAAAGGGCCAAGAGATTTAGCTCAGTGGTGCAGCACCTGCCTTGCAAGTGCAAGGTCCTGAGTTTGATCCCCGGCACCCACCCCCCCCCAAAAGAAAGAAAGAAAGAAAGAAGAAAGAGAATCTGTTTCTCTGATATTCCTATCTGCCTTGTGCATCCTTTGCTCAAATATCCCATGAGCTGGTCCTCTGGCTGCCTGAAGACAGCTCAGCTGTCGCACATGGTCTCCTGGGATTCTGGGACCCGGCTGGCCTATCTCTGTCTGGCTCAGTCCCCAAGGAGGAGCTGAAACAGAGCCCCAAAGGGCAAGAGAGGGCAGCAGGCACAGCCAGCATTTATTGAGCATCTAGTACATTCCAGACACAAATGCCCTCTGTCCTTCCATCCTCCCACCCACCCAGCCAGTGAGAGGGATTTATTATTTCTGCTGCTGGAGAGGAGAGAGAGACCTGAGAAGCTTCAAGTCTCTGGGCCAGAGGGGCAGAGCCGGGATGGCAGCCCAGGTGCCTGCTCCCCACGGGGACTTCCAGGTGCATTGGCTGCCTGAGCCCCATCTGGGCTGCATTCCCCGGCCTCTGGTCTCCATCGCCAGAGCTCTCTTCTGGGCAGCAGGTGGAACTGCGAGGAGACTCAGGAGTCCTGCCTCCTCCCTGAAGGCCCTCGAAGCTGCCTGAGGGATGCCAGCAGCAACTCTAGTGGTTCTCCCTGACTCACCGTCAGAGGCAGGCATGTTTTTGGTTTTGTCTTTGGTGTGGTTTGGTCTCGCTATGTATTGCAGGCTGGTCTTGAACTATGTAGCCTAGGCTGGCCTTGAACTTTGAGCGATCCTCTTGCCTTACCTTCCCGAGTGCTGGGATCACAGGTGTGTACCACCAGGCCTGGCAAGGCTTGCACTGTGTGTGCATATGATACTGGGAATTGAACCCAGGGCCTTCCTACTAAGTTGCATCCCCAGATGTTTTATAAAAATTTTTTCTGATTTTGAGAAAGGGTCTCCATGGGTTGCTAAGTTACTCAGGTTGTGCTCAAACTTTGGATCCTCCTGCTTCAGCCTCCCACAGGGCTGGGATTACAATCCTCAATCCCCACACCTGGCTTGTTGTTTTCACAGTAGAAAAGCGCTAGGATGGCTCCTTGTAGTTCCGAGTTAGGTGGCTCAAGGTCTCAGAGTTGGCAATGCTAACGTGCAAACCTGGCATCAAGGGCTGCTGAGCCCAGTGGGTTCAGGGCCCCCCGAGCTCACCCTGCTCTGAGCCTGGATGGTGTGGTGGTGCCAGGGTGGAGCGGCCTGGCTTTCCACCTGCACTTCGTCTGGTAGATCCTCCTGGTGCCCTGCTCTCCCATGCAGTAGGGGCCCCGTCTCCTCCCCGTCTGCAGCCTACAGCCCCTTGCTCTGCTCCCAACCCGGTAGGTGTGGCCCAGCTCCCCTCCTCAGGCCGAGTCCACACCCGCCGGCGCCCCTGGAGCCCCCTCGGCCCAGTGGGGCTCCCTCCCTGCAGATGTCAATCCAGCCCGAGTGGACACACAGAACACACATCTTAAACAAACACTTCTCCTTGCTGTTTATCTCTCCGGCCTTTAAACAAACTCTTTCAAAGGTTTCTGCTGATAGGAGAGATTTACTGAATCATTCCTTGCCTAAAAGCCCTGGCTTTCTGCTGCCAGGCACTGGGGCCGAGGACCTTCGGGCCTGGGGTTTCTCTGGCCCAGACTGGGTTTGTCCTCGGGGGCTTGAGAGAGGAGCAGCACAGAGGAATCTCTATGAAAAAGAACCCAGCAAAAGCGAGAAAGGGAAAGGGGCAGGTGGAGGCCCGAGGCTCCGTTCCTGTCCACTCCAGCCCAGAAGGTCCGGGTGTGGCTGCACCCACTGCAGCTCGGGAGGGGCTGGCAGGGAGGGAGCATGCCCTGGACTTTGGACACAGGCACAGGGGAGCCTGCTCTGGAGCTTCCAGTCCTGGAGAGACCAGAACAGCTTCTCCCAGGGCCACCAGGCAGGGCACAGTCACTTGGGACTGTCTACCTGTTCCTTCTTTGCCCTGCCCACCCAAAGGAAGCACCTAGTGAATGTGGGACCTGGGGTACAGGGACCAGGGATTGTTAACTTTTCTTTGAGATAGGGCTCACTATGTTACTTTATTTATTTATTTTTTTGGTACTGGGGATCGAACTCGGGACCTTGCACTCTTGAGGCAGACAGCAGCACCACTGAGCTAAGTCCCCAGCCCTAGAGCTCACTATGGATAACTACAGGCTGGCCTTGATCTCACTATGTAACCCAAGCTAGCTTTGAACTCACTGTGATCCTCCTGCCTCAGCCTCCTGAGTCACTGCTCAGGTGATTACAGGTGCTTGCCAACATGCCCAGCTAGCATTTACAGTGGACCCTCGAGTTATGACTGGCTTGACATACAAACAACTTGGGCTATGACCAGAATTTTAGTTTTAATTTATGAACAAAGTCTTGAGTTACCACCCAAATGCCAGCCGCTTGTGCTTCCAGATGGTCTAATACAGATTTAACCCTTAAAGAGTTCTGGAAGGAACATGACAGCATCCTTTTCTATGTGGGGTTCATTGAGAAATCCTGGGCCAGTGTCTCTCTAAGGACACTGAGATCTGCCTGATACAGGAGAGAGACTTTGAAGGCTGTGTAGAGGAGCCTGAGCCTTCATTGACCAACCTGGGTTGCAACCAGCCCTCAGGAACGAATTAAGTTCGTAAGTCAAGAGTCCATTGGACTTAAGCTTTCTGTGGGCCTTGTTTGGAATTGCTGACATGAATTAATTCATTTAATATACCAGGCCCCAGCCAGGTGAAGTGGTGCATGGCTGTAATCATAGCACTCAGTTGGCTGAGTCAGGAGGATTGCCTTGAGTTCAAGGCAAACCTGGACTACATAGTGAGTTCAAGGTCAACCTGAACTACATAGAGAGACCCTGTCTCAAAAAAAAAAGTCAAAACAAAAACAAAATTAACAACAAAACACCAGGCCCCAGAAATGGGTAGTATAGTTCTTTCAGCTTTGCATGTGGGGAAATTAAGGCACCGAGAGACTTCAGAGCCTGCCCCTGGGATGTGACTTACTTGAGATGCATCCTGGCCGC